TACCTAAATAATATTTCCATAGCCCGCAGATATTGACTGAAATACCCAAATCAAAAATAATTTATAGTTATATAATAACCAGTCAACTAAATTTGACCTTTCAATATATATATATATATATATATATATGTATATGTTTATATTGATATTATTTTGAGTACCCGTACTAAATAACATATATTTTTTATAGGAGTGCTTTCATCATTTTGCCCCTTGTGCATAGTTTTTGGAATCCTGCTCATCAACGTGTTAGGAAACTACTTGCCTATCAACATTACAGCGATGATTTCCTGCATCTTTCCAGTTATCCTGTTTGTAACCTTCGTTGGGATGCCAGAAAGCCCTTACTTTCTCTTTGAAAACGGAAGATTTGAAGAAGCGAAGGAAACGTTGAGAATTTTACGTGGAGAAGATGAAGCAGACAAAGAACTGGAAAAAATACGTCAAAATGTATTCGAGGAGTCGGAAAATATGAGCATTTTCAAATATTTTTTCCTAGACAAGGTTAACAGAAAAGCTGCGCTGGTTGCCTATGGCTTAAGGACTATCCAGCAGTTCTGTGGAACGACTGCCATCACATTTTACTGTAAAACAATTTTTGAGGAAGAACAACCCATTCTATCTGCTAGTTTGTCGACGAATTTGTACTTCTTCATACAACTTTGTGTCGCCTTTTTTACCATTTTCGTGGTCGATATTTCCGGGCGGAAGCCTCTCTTGCTGATCTCTCTCGTTGGCTGTTCAGTGACACTGTTAATGATGGGCGCCTACCTTTTTGTGAAGAACAAACTTGATATCGATTGGAATTTCGCGAGTTTCGTTCCTCTGGTGGTTCTTTATCTGAATGTTGTGTTTCTTGGAATCGGGGTTAGGAATATTCCCATTTTGATGATGGGAGAGTTATTCTCCCCAAGAGTAAAACCATTCGCTTCGTGTATTGGCACTATTTATTTCAGTTTATTGTCGATGGTATCAGCTAAAATGTTCTATATCATCAACATTAAATTCGGAATGTATATGTCTTTCTGGATATATGGATTTCTCTCACTCATTAGCATCGTTTTCGTAATATTTGTCGTTCCAGAAACCAAGGGATTGAGATTAGAGGATATCCAGTTGAGACTTGGAAAAAGATGCCGGACCGAAGACATAATTCTGTGAAGCTGATGCCTCAGTGATGAAAGAAGCTTCACTTTCTGCCAAGTGATATTATTATTTTTTCTATTATACATACATACAAACATACAAATTTGTGGAATTTTATTCATTTCGCATTATCGAAATCGGTTTAAAATAGTTTGAACCGTCATTCAGCTAGCCTTCAATAAAATCGGTTTCTGTCATATTTCTTCGTAAAAAACATACTAATATGAGTAGATTGGAGCACTGTCGGAATGATTTGAAAAGAGTGTCGAAATTTCGAGATAAAAGTCGAAATTACGAGATAAAAGTCGAAATTAAGAGATAAAAGTCGAAATTACGAGATAAAAGTCGAAATTTCGAGAAAAAAGTCGAAATTACGAAATAAAAGTCGAATTTTTATAGATAAAAGTCGAAATTTCGACTTTTAAGTCAAAATTATGGTGAATCTAATAAACAAATAATCTTTGGCCGTTCTACGCTGACAATTTTGGCGTTTGGCGTTTGTTTGGCGATTTTCTGTTATCGAAAAAAGTGGATCCAAGAATTTGCATCAAATGTTGTCTAAAAAATGGACTCGAGTGCTCAAAAACACTTGAAACCAGGAGAGCCAAGACCAAAAAAGCACGCCAAGTTCGATCAAATTTCAAGGTTTTGCTCACTCTTTTCTTCTATTTTTGTGGTGTAGTGCATCAGGAGTTCTGGCCACATTGTCGTATCTTGGAGTTATGCGCTGCTTGCGAGAGCAATTGAATGATGACTTGTCATCATGTAAATTGAAATTCGCCTTTTATCTTCATATAATAAATAAACTGTACTTGATTAATTTACTTCAAATGTATTAGAAGATAATAAAGACGATATTATTATTAAGAAAACGTCCGGTATTATGGGAAAAAATTCATGGCATTTGCATTTTAGAACTAGAAGTACAAAAACTTTTTACAGCCGACTGGCCAGAACCAATTTGAATCTCAAGTCACCTATCTTTAGCATTTGCAATAATTAATATTCATTCATTTTCTCAAATTGTAACTTTGTAATTATAAGGATCGATATTACTTTTTTTTAACATACTTAGTCAATCCTGTAAATGGCTTTTAAGTGTTGGGTAATAAAGGCTTGTTCGTAGTTTTTTGGACAAAAACAACATCGTAATCATGCCTCATCCATCGTATTCACCAGATCTGGCTCTCTCCGACTTTTTCCTGTTACCAAGATTGAAGATATCTTCGGAAGGACACGTTGCCACGTTTGAGTAGAATGAAACCGAATCGCTGAGAGCTCAAGTAAGTATCTGAAGGGGACTACTTCAAGGAGGAAAAATAGAAATAGATGAATAAATAAAAATGTTTTGATGAAAATGAAAATTCACCTTATTTTTTGAACAGACAACATATAATCGCTTCTCCTAGAAATGCTAAAATACATTTAACATTCATATTTCTATTCACATATGGGACTTACGAGATGAATTCCATCTAAATGTAAAATAATAGACATTATAATATTTATCGGTGTTTTGAAATCGTTTAGTGGATATTCATTTTTATCTTTCAGTCTCTTGATATGTCGGGATGACACGAGTGACAATAACAATTTGATTTCCGTTATGTTTTCATTTCGTTAAAATATTAATGAAAATGGGACTTTAATTTAATCGCCCGTTTTATTACTCCGTATTTATTAGCAGTTATGGGAAAATCGATAGTAACTGCAGTAATGATAATGAAGGCCCTAGACAAGTTTACGAATTAGGTCTCTCAGAAACTAAAAAACATATCTTTGCCGCTCTTTCTTTTTTACTGAAGTGACAAAATGAAAGTGAAGAAACACAAGGCGGGTTGTCTGCCTTGTTCATCTTTAACTGCCTGAACCACTGTGCATGCTGTTTTTGGCGAGTGCATTGGCTAGATGATGACATAGACATAGATGACGCTATTCTTATCGCATTCACCGCTTTTTCAGTTAGTTCTAACCTTCAAAAGAAAACTGTTGAAATTCCATAATATTCTACTCACAATGCATTTCATCAGTTCGGACTTCCATTGTCTAATATAATATAAATTGATTTGAAATCCCTGAAAAAAAAAATAAAAAAGAATAACCGAAAATAACAATTTTATTAAACAAAAAACTGTAATTGCAAAGAAATATCATACAAGCAACAACCAATAAATAAAAAATAGAAATATTAATGAAAGCTGAAAATAAAAAAAAAATATTATTAACAAAAATGAAGAATTAAAATTAAAAGATTCCAAACCAAGTTATGTCACGACGTTTCGATTGTTATTCCTCCGAGATCTGACTATTTATAGGTCATTCGAGTGCTTTCACCTATCCCCTCTTCCCTCTCACCGATTCATTGGTTTTAGCGGTTGATGAACGTTTGGCAGGAGTTGGCCGTTTTTCTCTTGATTAGAGGTTTCCATATGTTACGTATCTCTACGCTAGCTTGACTAAATGCGTTGTTGGACAACATATACGCGGCTTCTTTGAATTTTCTCCTAAACCAGTGTTCCTCTTTGTGGATGATTTCAGCTTGAGCCCACTTGATGTTATGTTGATGAGTCCAAACATGCTCTACTATTCCGGATTTGCTGGTTTCTCCTCGCTGTGTGTGTTTCGTGTGCTCAGCAATGAGAACTTTCAATGGCCTCTTAGTTCCACCGATGTATGAATATCCGCACTCGCAGGGTATCCGGTAAGTGCAATTCTTGGAATCGCAGTCCACGTTTGGTGGCCTGGTTTTCGTGAGGCTGCTACGGATAGTGTTCCCAGATCTGAAGCAGGTCCCGATGTTATACTTGGACCCAATCCTTCTTATCCTTTCCGATAATCCTCTGATGTAGGGAAGTACAAGTACTGGTAGTTGGCGGCTTCTCTTCCTTGTGGAGTTCTTGCTGTCTTCTAGCTAAAGCCTGTTCTACCATCACTTTGGAGTAACCATTCCGTTTAAGGTCATTTCTGGTGATGCCTAGTTCCTTTTCGAGATCTTCCTTTGTATTGCAGAGCCCGAAAGCACGGTCTAGTAGAGTCTTGATAATTCCTCTCTTAGTCGATTGATGGTGGTTGGATTTCTGATTCAGATACTGTCCTGTGTGAGTGGGTTTTCGATATACAGATATTTCCCATTTAGTGTCGGTCCTCTTCACCAATACATCTAAGAATGGCAATTCGTTGTGGACTTCCTTCTCCATTGTGAAAGTGATGGAAGGACTAAGGAAAGTGTCAAGTTCTGCATTTCCATAGTTCCATATCATGAAAGTGTCATCTACGTATCTCAACCAAACTTGGGGCTTCTTGTGGGCTCCTTCAATGGCCAGAGTTTCAAACCACCAATATCTTTCAGGTCCCCATCTTCGGATAGCTTCTTCTGTATGATTTGAAGTGCTTCTTCGACAGGAACGTTGGTGTAGAGGCTTTCCACGTCAAAACTGATCAGTTGATCCTGCTCTTTGACTTCGATTACCCCTAGTAGTTCAACGAAATGCCTTGAATTTTTCACAAAAGATGATGTTTTACCTTGCAGTGGTTTAATTATTGGTAGTGAAAATCTGGACAAGTTCTGGGTGGTTGAATCTCTGAAGCTAATGATCGGTCTGAGCGGAACATCCTTTTTGTGGATTTTGGGTAGTCCATACAAGTGAGGGGGCTCACTGTGGTGCGGTGTTAGGGATGATCTCTCTTTTTCCGAAAAATAGACTTGGTGATTTTTCAAAGTCTGGTACAACTTCCTTTCGATTGATGCAGTAGGGACTCTTACGATCTTCGTGTATTTTCCTTTCTGAAGCACATCTTCGATCTTCTGTTCGTAGAGATCAGTATCCATCACAGCAGTAGCGTTTCCTTCATCTGCAGGTAAGATCTTGATGGTGCTATACGTAGAGACAACACCAGGGCTCGTTCAGGGCTCTTTGTTCTCCATTGCTGACGTTAGAAGTTGGAACTTGTTCTCGATCTAGCTGTTCTCTGATTTTCCATCTGAATTCTTCTGCCTCGATCTGATCCATAAGGGAACTGGTGGATTCTACTGCAGTTATTATTTCCAAAGTGGGCACAGATGTTGGTGCAATGGCGGAGTTTAGACCTTTCCTCAACAAAGATTCCTCTATGTCCGTGAGCGGACGGGAACTCATGTTGATGACGTTGGCGGCTTCATGGTTGTCCTGTTCTCGTTCTGCATTTGGGCATTGTTTCCTCAACAACTTTTCCCACTTCCTGTTGTGTGTATTCTCCATGTCTTGTCGGATCTTCAAGCACGTGCTTTCAATTTTGGCAAAGATTGGTCCATGATCCTCTTCCAAGGTCTGTCTTTTTATTTCTTCAAATCATTCTGTGGAATCCTTTCAGGAATTTCAATCAATTTATATGATATTAGACAGTGGAAGTCCGAACTGATGAAATACACCACAAAACATTGTCAACCACCTTCAAACATTCTACCGAGAGTGACACTACATGGGTTAAGAATTGCGCTTTGGGCTGGCTTCATCATTATCAGAATGCTAACGTTCCAAAGCTACGAAAGTCTGAATAAATCTTTGGAATATTCCTTAATTTCAAAGAGAACAGGAAAACAATTGTGCATATGAATTCAAAAAATATATATAACTAATTTTCAACCAGAGTTTCAGGCAATTCATCTGAACAGTATCATCATACATTTTTTTCCAATGATAATTCGACATACATTTTTTATTCATGAACCGAGAGAGATGAATTGGACATTGAATGTTGAGTGAAGCTTCCTACAACATGATATAGAGAACTGCCACCAAAACTTTCAGACGTTTTTAAGATTAACGCGCACAAACAGACAGACAAACATTTTGAAACTCAGTGTTTTTGTTCCAATATGGCTCACTAAGTCTGAGTACACAGCAAATATCCGATTTCGAAGACCAGAAAAATCTTGTGTCGCTTAACATACTTTAAAGAACGGCCATAGAATAAATGAAAACTGACTGAAACAGTTGGGATCGGTACATGACACTAGACTTTTGGATGCTTTTGAAAGTCTGAACAATGAACAGTGACAAACGCCCCATTCCAAACAGCCTAAGCATGTTTGACAAT